GGCAATAGGAACATTTATTAGTCATTTATTGATGGTGCAATAATTATTCTTAACCAAATTAAATAATATTTACCTACAGCGTGCTAAGTGTTTTACTGTATTCACAAATTGTTGATAATGTGATTCATGAATATCATTTATCGTTTTAGAGTCGAAGGAATTTTTATGTGTATTTGATATCTGTTAACATTTGTCCCAGTTATAAATGTTAAAGTAATTCCTGTGTTAAATTGGACAGTTTATTGAAAATCACGGAAACTGAGTGATGACCTCATCAAGAACGCCTGTTCCAATTGGTGAACTAACGAACTGCTTCCTTGTGAACTCGGTAAGAACGGACTTTCAACTGTTCTTGCGGGTCTGTACGGCCAAGAACGTTCCATTCTATTCTATTCTTTTCTACTCTGCTCTGTGTGTCAGCCACCCTGAAGTTCTTCTGGTCGACCCAAACTCACCTGGAGAAGCTTGAATATGTCCAGAACCGACCCGATAGATTCCACCTGTGGTTCTGCCGCGTCAGACTTATGGCCCAGAACAATAAGCGCCATCGGGTCGGGTGGATGGTGGTTGGTGTTCATCCCTCAATCAGACAGTTGACGGTTTGATTCCCTCTCTCTGTCTGCCTTTTCACTTGGGGAAAACACTTCATCCCCCTGGTCAGAGGGCGAGGTGGGACCCAGATAGCCTGATAGACTTGTAGCCTGATAGCCTGGTAGCCTGATAGTCTGGTAGCCTGATAGCCTTGTAGCTTGATAGCCTGGTAGCCTGATAGTCTGGTAGCCTGATAGCCTTGTAGCTTGATAGCCTGGTAGCCTGATAGCCTGGTAGCCTGATAGCCTTGTAGCTTGATAGCCTGGTAGCCTGATAGCCTGGTAGCTTGATAGCCTGGTAGCCTGATAGCCTGGTAGCCTGATAGCCTGGTAGCCTGACCGGTGTGACAGATGGGGGACTGGGCCATGGTCCGAGGCTGCGGCGCCACCGGAGCAGCTTGATGTGGTGTGACGGTGTGTCGGGTAACAGTGTCGGGGCGGGCAGAGCTCAGTCAGTTCTGATCAGGTACCGGGTCAGTTCTGGACCTCAGGTCGGTTCCGATCCAGAAGAGGGTCCAACCTGCAGCAGCTGGGATTCCTCTGTGGTCTAAACTGGGAGCTACTGGGACACCTGGCCAAAATGGCTGTTTATCCTGGGGGTGACCTTTAACCCCCCGGGTCCAGGGTTCTTGCTAAAGACTTACATGTTTACTACCTTTGTCTCTGCATGTCCTTCCTGTCCTCTGCTTCCTGTCCCTCCCTGATGTCTCCATCGTCTGTGCTGGGTTCTGGTGAACCGGGTCAGAGACACCAGCAGCTGCAGGACTCAGAGTGTCCTCCATTCCTCCCATAGCTGCCACAGTGCAGGACGGGGACGAGCGGGGGGCTGCATTGTTTTCCAGCAGCTGGACATTGTCCTCATCTTTCTGTCCAGCAGGGACAGGATAATCTGTCCAGCAGCTGCTGCAGCGCGTCATGTGATCTGTTGTTTTTTTGCAGATCATCCGTCCTCGCCAGCTGACGGCGTCCTGATGGACGTCCTGATTTATGGTCCAGGTCCACAAATACCAGAACCAACACCATCTTCATTGGCTGACAGGAGGGACACAGGACATTTATGAGGACATTTCTACAATCTGAAGACATTTCTGTGGTGTGGCTAGATGTTTTATTTCCAGGACATTTGTGAGGTCATTTGTGAGGACACGGGCAGACAGTGACTATCTCCTTAATGAGGATGTTTTGCCTGTTCTCCGGTTTGTGCCTTCATTCCTCACAGGAAGCGGTCTTCATGAAACGTCTCAGCCTTGGCGCAGTCCTCAGAGGACGGTTGGTCTCTCAAACAATGTGACGTTTCGTCCCGGAGATGAAAGTTTAATGATTCTGCAGGAGAAAGTGGGATGATGAAACCTCACATCAAGACAAGATGCTGCTCTGCCCTGGGCTCTGTCTGCAGGCGCTTCGACGTCCCACGTCCTCTTCTGGGGACATGAACATAGTCTGATGGAGACAACCTGATTAGGGACGGAAAGAAGATTAAAAAATAAAACAGTTTAATTTTAAAGATTTTTTTGTGTTCCAGTTATTGGTCGACTTGATGAAGAACTCAGGATCTCCTGAGTTCTTCATCAGAGTTGGACTTTTATTTTCAAGAGAAAATATTAAAGTCCAGGTTAAACCTTTTCCTGCTCAACCTGATCTTAGCAAGGCAGTTTGACTTTTTACGCACATTTTAACAACAAGGTGGTTCAAAATCCTTTGAAACTAGAACTGTACCAAGGCCTTGGTATATTTCTAGAAGGTACCAGAAACACTGATGGTGGATGGATGAAGGTTGGATGCTCAGTCCAGCAGCAAGTGATTATGATGGTTTTGAAACCTAACAGTTTTTTTTTTTTCAGAACACTTTGGCTGCCATGTTGTTCCATTAAATGGATCCAGTCAGGACCAAAGTGATGTTCTACGGGTCAGAACTGAACCGGTCCATGTCTCAAACAGAACATTAAATAATTAACGGAAATCATTCTGAGACAATTTCAGAACATTTTAAACATTTTAGACATAGACATCAATAGTAGACCCCTCATGGAGCGCTGAGTCCTACGTAACAGCGGCCGCCATCTTGTATGTGGCAGCAGGGATCGGAGCTCCTTTAGTCCTGTTCTGTGTTTCAATCCTTTTACGAAACAAACTGGATTCACTGGCATCACCTTCCACAGGTAAGGATGAAAGATCAGAATTACTTTGCAGCCAGAAATTCGTTTCTAAACAACCGGAAAATATTTCCTATGTAGCTTAATTGGCCTGAAATAACCGCTGATTGTTAGCTTAGCAGCTAACGTTTTCACATTGTGTTCTAATGAGAGAGAGGTGATGAAAAACCGCTGTTAGAGGGGAAGTTAATTAAAAACCAGAGGATTTATTGAGGAAAGATCAGTCAGGATCAGAGCTGGAGCTGCTGTTCTTTTGTTTCCAGCTCAGCTTCACCATGTCGGTATTTAGCTATAAAGATGCTACGAGTCAGAGCCCAACATGCTGAAAATGGCTTTTTATGAATGTGAAGGAAACGTATATGTATTTTCTATTAGGATAATTTCTCTTTTATTCTTGGCTTTAGCCTGTGAACCAGGACGTCTCAGAAGTCATTGGAGTTCTCCCAGTGTGACCAGCAGACTGAAGCCCTGTGGCCAGTGTTCCCACTATAATAAATAAATGTTTTATTTTTTAACTTTTTGTGTATTATAATATATCTCAATCTGAATATTAGTGTATTAATACAGCTTATGTAATGAAATAAAAATAATTTACTCTATTAGAATTATTGTCACTATGCTGTCAATAGCAGAGTTGATGTATACTGTAATAAATATTTTTTCTCTGGAAAAAAAGTAAGAAAAATATGTAGTTTATTGTTTGACAATCACTGATTTATAAATCATAAGTCATTTCTCAATAATGTATAAAAATAAATACAAGAAAATCGTTAAATGCACATTAAATTTTGGAATTATGTAAATATGTTCTTTAATTAAACACTGTAAAAGTGTCTGTTCATCAGTGTCATTATAAAAATAGCTAGAATAATTTCTATCAAATAAAAACATTGTGCTCTTTATTCAGAAATGCCCCAAAGCAATTTAATAATCACATCAAAAGTTAGAAACTCTGTCTTTAGTCATTTCTTTGATTGCCAAAAATATTAATGTGTGAGAAAATGTGGCAATGACAGGAATTAATTTAAAATACTTTGTAAAACGGCACTTTGTTAAGTTCAGTCCATTTACTTGTATTACCTTACTGGCACATATTCCACATTCAATATGGCGGACGCTGTTACGTATCGCAGCAACGGGCCGACCCGCCCCATGAGGGGTCTACGTATTTATGTCTATGATTTTAGAGCCCATCTTTTCTGTACGTCTACTGTGACGTCATGACGCTGGGGCGGAGTTTGAAGGCGAGCCGGGATTCCTGAGGATTACCCATCATGCCCCGCGGGTAAAGATGGCAGCAGATCAACTTTTCTCGGAGCTCTGAGCGGATTCTATCTCCAGTAACGGAGCTCCTATCCGGGCCGCTGCTACTCTCACTGACCGCCGTCCGGCTGCCCTGCCCGCAGCACTGCTACCGGGAGTCGGATCGGTCCGGAGCCCCCCGCTCCTGCTCTCCCAGCCGGAGGAAGGACCGCGGACCTCGGACTGAAGTTTGTCTACCCTCGGCGGTGCCGCCCCGGGCCGCGCTGGGCCGCGCTGACCGCCGCTCGGGTAAGCTGGCAGCGGGCTGCGGGGCTGCGGGCGGCCGGCGCGAGGCTGGCTGCTCAGAACGACCGGTGCGACAGACGGGGAACTGGGCCACGGTCCGAGCCGCGGCGGCACCGGAGCAGTTTGATGCGGTGTGACGCTGTGTTGGGTAACGGTGTCGGGGCGGTAAACTGAGCGGTTCGGGCCGGGCTCCGGCACACGAAGCCCCGCTGGGTTTGTCGTGTTGTCCCCGGACTGCCTTGCAGACAGAACCCAGGGCTGCAGCGTGACTGCGCCTGACAGACAGCGGAGTGGAAAAACACTCAACGAGTCACACACCTGCAGCCAGGCGGCCAATCAGAGGCCAGCACCCCCCCCCCCCCCCCCCCCCCCCCCCCCCCCCCCCCCCCCCCCCCCCCCCCCCCCC